TGAGGCTCTTGGGTTTTTAAGTTGGAAGTCGTGGGAGAGACAGTGAGGTGGCTTTGCCTGAGGTTTTTTGATTAATAGTAGGGCATGACGTTGGCTGTTGTGTGCTGAAGCTGGATTATTAAGCAGAGGAAGTGTGTGTAGCCAGGAGAGGTCAAACTCAGGGTCAGAAACATGGAGTTCAGAGCAGAAGGTCTCCGAGCGCAGATCTCAGAATGTTATGGCAAAGGGAACCAAGAATGCCTTACCTTCTGCCCCCATAGATGGTATATAAAAGCTCTGCTTTTATCTGACACATCTCCCCCCTTCCCTGAGCTCCATTGTATTTGTCTTACTATTTTGTCCTTAAGACAAGAGTCCATTTGAAGAAAGAGTTCTGTGAGGAAAGAAAGAATGGGGGTGTAGGAACTCTGGTATTGCCCAAATCCTCATTTTACAAATGGGGAAATAGAGGGTGCGAGGGGAAACTCTTTTCTGTACGTCAGGAAATGACAAACAGGAAAATATTAATTTAGAGAAGGAGGACAAGCTTCCTAAGAAAAAAAAGATCTGTAGAGAGAGCGTCACAAGATGAATGACTTCAGGAGATTGTGTCATGTCAGCAGAGTTTCGGGGACTTGAGCCTTCTCCTCCGTGAGAGTAGAAGAATGAAACACCAGTCCTTCAGCCTGACTCTCAGAGACCCTCAGCGGATGAGCAGTAAATCCGATTTCATTTCCCTGGCCATGCTGAGCCCCACAGGAAATCTCAGAATTTCAAATCAGGACAAAACCCCACAAGAATGTCGCTGCACCCAGAGCCCTGTGGTTTGCTGCCACTAGAGAATTTCCTAGGGAAAGGGCTCTGGGGAGATTGCTCAGCAAGACAGAAAAACGCTGCAGTGAGGCCAGCAAATGTCTTCCTGGGATCCTGGAGGTTTGGGTTTAAAATGTCCCATGGAGTTTAGGCAGCATAGCCCCCTTGTAGCTCACGCAGCCTTGTTTCTGAGTAGTTTCTCAAGGATTCGCCACTTCAGGATGGAGGGAATTGGGATGGTTTGCTTTCCAGTTTTACAAGTTGGCCTAATGAGGCCTAAGGGCCTATACTGTTTGTGGGATAAGGCTTTGATGCCCCATTGGGATCAGTGAGGTTTGAGTTTTAGACCTCTGTATATCCGGGGGAGAGCTTAGGAGGCAATGCCAAACACTACAAACAACCTTGAAGGAGAATGGTCAGTTTCTGCCTTTGCTTTTTTTGTAGAGTGTTCCCTGGTCATTTAAATCGGCAGAAAGAATTAATTAAAAAGGAGCAGTGTGTGTTCAAGTAAATCAGTAAGGCATCATTCCCATAAAAAAAAAAAAACTTTAAAATTATTTTTATTGATTTTAGAGAGGAAGGAATAGATAGATACATTAATGATGAGAATCATTAGTTGGCTGCCTCCTGTACACTTCCCGCTGGGGATTGAGCCTGCAGCCCTGGACATGTGCCCCAGACTGTGACCTTCCTGGTTCATAGGTCGATGCTCAAACACCAAGCCACACCAGCCAGGCAATAAATACATTTTTATTCAGCTGGTATTGAGTTCCTAGTATGTACCATTCCTTCTTCTAGACATAGACCATATCAGCAAACAGAACAAAGTCCTGTCCTCATGACCTTTTCTTATAAGGGAGGACAGCCAGACCAATCATGCTTCTGGTGGTGATAGGTGCTACGGAGAAAATCAGGGTGAGAATAGGGACATAATCAAAAGGCATTTCCCATAAGGTAACATTGAGGAAGGCCTGAAGGAAGCGAGGGAGCATGTAATGTGGCTGCTGGGGAAGAGAGTTCCTGCACAGAGAGCCAGAGGGCAAAGGCCAGGCAGGAGCTTAGCAGATGACCTGGAGGAACAGCTCGGAGGCCTTTGAGGCCGGAGCTGAAAAGTGAGAGGGAGTTGTGGGTGGGGCGGTCAGAAAGTCAGCTGAGAACAAGACTGTGTGGCTTTTTGAAAAGGCTTTTGCCTTTTACTTCTGGACAGTTTTGTGTTAGAAGATGAGCCTGACCAATGTGGAGAAGAAACTCGGGGCCGAGGGCAGAAGAAAGGAAACCACTTGTGGGGCTATTCACTCACATGGTCGGATTCTGGCTACAGGGGTTGTGATTGACTCCATGTCAGTGTGACAGAAGAGTCAAGGATGGCATCAAAGTTTCTGTCTTGAGCAATTACAAGAATGGGCTTGTCATTTACAGAAATGGGGAAGGCTGGGGTCCATAGATTTCTGGCTTGACTAAATAGTTTTAGGAAGAAGTTGTGGAGATCCAAGAAGAAAAAGTTTGACTTAATCATTGGTTCCTTCATTCTCTCCATTGTCTTTGAAAATTTGACTTGTATTTGGGGTCAATTCTACCACGGTTTTCAGGAGGGGCGGGACATGGTTCCATGGTACTAACTTCTAGGGATCCTTACCCATGCCCGTACAGATCAGTGTGGTCAGAGGCTCTTTGTGGGTAGATTCTGTCCCTGGTGCATCCCTCATCTCAGGTGCTGTGTTGGTTTCCTAGGGCCTCATAACTAATTACCACAAAGTGGGTGGTTTAAGACAACAGAAACGTATTCTCTCATAATTCTGGAGGCTAGAAGTCCAAAATCAAAGTGTTGCTGGGCCCTGCTCCTTCGGTAAGGCCTAGGGAATAATTCTTCCTTCCCTCTTCTGAGCTTCTGGTGGTTGCCGACCATCCTTGGCTTATAGATGCAATCCTCCACTCTTCTCCCTCCATTGATGCATGACATTCTCCCTTTGTCTTTGTGTGGCCTTGTAAGGACACTAATAATTGGATTTATCCAGCATGACCTCATCTTAACTCGGTTACATCTCCAAAGACCCTTTTTCCAAATTAGGTCCCCGTCTCTGGTTCCAGGGGTTAGAACTTCAACACATGTTTTTATGAGACACAATTCAACCCACAACAGAGGCTTTGATCTGGGTTTGATTACGAGTCTTTTGGGCTTAGATGTGTTTAAGGATGAGATAGGACCTATTGAAATAAAGTTAGAAAACAGGTCACTCTGGGCTATGAATGCCCTGTCTGTTGTGATGAAAAACTTTTTTCTTGTCTAGCTAACTGAAGATTAGGTAAACTGAAGATTTAAAAATAAACAAGTTCATTTTTTATTATTTTTTGAAACTTGAAGACTTTAGGATATGCAGTGGTAAAATCATGAAGAAGTCATGTAACTGGAAGACAGAAGGAATAAAAAATGATAAAATGAAGAATTTTAAAGAATCACTTTGATTTTGACCGGAATCGGGGCCTGGACTGTAGGTAGAAAGCTCTTGCTGATGTTCCACGTTTGTGGTTTTGCTGGTTGGGCAGCAGGTTGGCAGAATTGGAGTGCCTCGCGCCTGCGACCCTGAGCCCTGGCTGACGACGGCAGAGGACACTGTTTGCTCCACTAGCCTTTCCCTGAGATCCCACGGGGCTGCATGCTACACGGCCCTATCGAGCTGCTATCGAGTGCTGCTCCCCTTCCGTGCAACACCCAGTGCATTCACATTCTTCAGTGCCGCGTCAGGCGTTTATTAGTATTTCTTCCCTTTTAACTCACCACAAGTACAGTCTAAAGGTTGTTTATCAAAGAAAGTTTAAGTTTCACCACTCTGATATCACATTGATAGGACTATGTCAGGTCTAGCAGTGTAATTAAAATTCTTTAGCAAGAACATACACTGTGGCCAGCAAATTATATGGTTCTGTGAGTTTTTATGGTGCTCCTGTTGTTTGTAAGGAATTGTGTGGACGTTGGACAGATCAGGAAATTTGAAGTTAGAAGACAAACAGGAATTAGAGGTTCACATAAAAACTGATAGATCGGTAGATGCTACATTTGGCACCTGCAGGGAAAAAAAAATCTACATGTATTGTTTAATAAGTATCTGGGTAGGGAGTGGGAGAAGCTAGAGGCAGGGATATGTAGTGAGGTTTAGTGGCACAGGCCTCGAGTGATAGTGGGATTCACTTAGATTTTCCTGCAAGACCTGTCAGGCCCGGCTGCTCCCCTGTCCTTGGCCCTCGCCTTTTCCTGGCTCTTCTGGGCACTCCAGGGGTCAGTGTGAAGCCACAGCAGCTGCTCGTGTGAAGGGGCAGGTTTGAGAGGGCACTGGCCGCATCTGCACCGCCTGGGCCAGTGCTCTGCATGCCTGGCTTAGTCACTCACATCCTTGGAGGGGATTATTCTGAGTTTTCCTCAAAAAGGGAGCCCTCATTTCATGTCTGGTAAGTGGGAATGCAGCCACCACTACGTCTTCAGGGCAGGGACGGCGGTGAAGCCACCGTGCTTCTGGGGTGACCACAGGGCAAATAACGTACGGACATCATTTCCTTTGACTAATCTTTTGTAATCCTGGTCCAGATGTGGCTCCTGAAAGTCAAGTTCTTTGTCTAGGTTGAGATTTTTAATTTAGGACCCAGATGGGGAAGGAGGAGGTAATCGTCCACAGGGTCTGTTTTCCTCGGGGTGTCACCGTCCTGGGATCCTGGCAGGCGGCAGTTTCATTAGAAAAGCAGATCTCACCCTGACTCATCTGCCTCGGTGAGATGTGTGACACAGCCTTTTAGGACTCACGAAGCCTGTCGTCTTGCTGGACAGAGCTGAGGGTACACGTCCACTCAGCAGTGGTGGCTACTGGACCTGGCTGGGCCCATGGAAAACCTTGACAGACAGTCTGCTCTGGGGCTGGAGCTTTGTCCTGGAATTTCCTGGCCTTTGTCTGGTGTAAATTCATGTACCCAGACGCCTGTGTTTAGAGTCTACTTCCTTCTAGGGCAAGAGTGCTACTGCCTCCCACGGCACTGCTTTCCGTACCAAGCGGCCTCCTCCCCGCGGGTCAGGGGTCCGGTGTGTGCACCTGGCTCCCAGTCAACAACATGCTCCTGGAAGTCACCGGTCACAGAGGAGACGCCATGACCACTGGGCATAAAAGTTGTATCTGCCAACCCGTCCCAGTCACCCTAACCTTGTTTCTCACCTCACATTGCAGCAGAAAAAGTCCTACCTGGAGCGCAGCGTGAAGGAAGCTGAGGACAACATCCGGGAGATGCTGATGGCACGAAGGGCACAGTAGGAAGCCTCTAGGGAAGCTTGTCCTCCCGGCCCCTCCCATTCCTGGCAAGGACAGCGGGCTCGTGTGGGGAAGTAGCCTCTGCTGTGCTCTGATGGGCCTTTTATCCGGATGGCCTGGTAACCCTGTGTTTTCTACATCACCCTGAGCCCCTTTCAGACCCCAGGATCGTATTTTTATCCGGCTCTGCCTGCCATCTCTGCCCCGGACACTCCTCCCTGGGGACGAGCCCTGAACTCCCCGGAGAGGGGAGAGGGGAGCCAGGACAGGTAGGGGAGCTGTGCCCATGCCCCTACTAGTCATGCTGGTCAGACCAATAAAAGGCACCTGTGCCACTCTGCCACGTTTGCGTTTCTTGAGCCGACGGATGAGAACAGAGAGGCAGAGGCTATCTCTACCTGAGCTCCTCCCTGTCCCTCTGGGGCTGTGGCCCTGCTCCTTCTGCATCGAAGTCCCCATACTTATTTTTTCCTCTGTGATCCTTCAAGTAAACCCCTCAAGCTCACAGCCTCCATGGGATGTGCAAGCAGGAAAGCAAGGAGACCAAGGTATAGCTGAATGTAAGTGAGGACAGCAGTCTTCGGCGGCAGTATGCCTTAGGATTCCTGCTTTTCCCCAACATCCCAAAAGAGAATTTACTAATAAGCACCTCCAAGACCGTCTCCCTTTGATCATGGGTGGACACTACAGCCTGAGGCCTCCCAGAGGCTCGGGGTGGTGGTGTGGTGGAGCTGCTTTTCAACTTTTAGGAATTTTGTTTCAAACCAGTTGTTAAACACAGCCATTATTCAAAATTAAATCATGTAACTTTACAATTAAATTATTAAAGAACAAGGGTAATAAATATTCAAAACATCTCTCTTCCTAATAACTAAATCTGCCGGGATCTATGTTTTTGAGTCTTAATCTGGACGGTGGAACCACTTCATAACAGTGCACTCTTGTACTTCTCTTCCCAACTCCCAGGACATCATGGGAACTTGAAATTAGCTATGGTGGGACCCAGTTACTCCACAGAAATCTCACAAAAGCATGGCATTGTGTTTATTTTTAAAGAGAGTAAACTGGTAAATATTCATAAGCATATCACTTCTTAGAGGGAAGGTGGGCAGGGAGTTGTCAACTGCAGCCTCTTGGGGCTGGCAGGGCTGGCCCTTAAGGGAAGCTCTGACTTGCTGCTCTGGTAGCTCAGCGCCACCCTGTGGCCAAAGCTAAGATGGGTAGCATGGTTTCCTGATTTGAATTATGACAGCGTGTGTGTGTCAGCAGGAAAAGAAAGCTTTGGGTCTGGCTGGACTCTGGACTCTGGTTCTCCTTCCTGCCAGAGACAGCCCGTAGTTACCAAGAGGCCCTTTCCTCGGCTCTGGGTAAAAGTGAGTCTGGCTCATTGGTGAGCCCATCTTTGAATGGGTCTAGGGAGAAAAGGCTAGCTTGGCGAGGGCCCCATGATCTGACTGAAGGCCCCGGCCTTGGGACCTAGTTTCCTAAAAACTCCCACTCTGCCCACCAGCAGCCAGAATGAAAAGGCAAATAAGCGCCTCCTCATATACCGGACAGCGGCCACTAGCTGAGATAACCACAGCTTACATTTTACCTGGAATAATTCAGACAGTTGAAGTTTAGACAAATTTATTGAAACATACAGGGTGTTAGCAAAGAAATCATTCAGTGATATGTTACATTATGCCACTACTTTGAATGTGTACTTTAAAAATTATAAATATATATTTCATAACTAAGCCTTTGGCCAAAAAAATAGAAGGGAAGTCATTTAGCACATTTGTGAAAGGCCAATCGGAAATTAATTTTGAACATTAGAAAGATAAAGTCACTGGATTAAACATCAGCAACCCCTGCAACCTAGAGTCCACTGTGTTGAAGGTAGAAGTGTCTGCGCAGAGCTAGTCATTTATTTAGCAATCAGAAGATGGGGGCAGGCACACCTATTGGAGGTGACAGAGGAGCTGGCAGGACAGCAGGGACAGCGGTCAGGTGAGCATGTCCCAGAGACAGCAACAGCAGAGAGCAGTCCAGCACGCTGTGAGGCAGGAGGATGCGCCCAGGTCATCCCTTCTTTGGTCTTCTACCACGTACACTGGAGCGGAGAGAGGGGAGAGGGTGAGAATGAAAGGCTCAGCCCTGGGCCCCACAGACCCCTGCCTCCCAGACCAGGCGCCTTTCTGCTTGTGCTGTGGTGGATAGTGAAGGGAGGAAGGGGCTGAGCACCTCAGCTACTCCCCCCCCCCCCCCCCTCAGGACACTGATTCCTCCAGGGAACCTATACTGCTGCCTGGCACCAAGGCAGCCAGAATTTAGATAAGAAAAGTCCATTGCGATCTGGCCAGCATTGGTTTATAAACCAAGCAACACTCTACTATAGAGGTCTGAGGGAACTGTTTCTTTAGATACAACTAAGCCCTTGCCCAAGAGAGAGAATAACAAAAATCTTCTAAAAGAAGAAGAATCTTAGTTCTTCATACCTGGGCAATGAATAGTATCAGAATGTGTCTCAACCTCTAAACTTTGACATAACACCGTGGAAGGCAGGGATGAAACCCTGGTCTGGCAGGAGGGACGGCCGGAGCCTAACATGCTTCCTGTGTCTCAGAATGAGCTGGAAACCTAAGCCCTGCCAGGACCAAGTGTGCTGTTAAGAGATTTGAGTGCAAAACAATCCATAGGTCAAGAAGGACCCCAACCACCCTTTCCTCGTCAGCTGGTTTGTGGCCTCTCTTCCCTTCAGGACATCCTTAAAATGCTGATGGTCAACCCTGGCCTCCGAGAATCTGGGCCACTTTTAAGAAAATCTGAAAACCACCACCATCAGACTGTTTTAGGCAGTTAGGATTTTAAACTTTCTGAAAGTTCATGAATACATGAATCTTATAAATTAAGCCAGTTCTTTGGCAATCTTGTTTCAGTTCTATTCTTGCCTATCTATTTTTATACCTCCTCTCTGGGTAACTTCCTCTCTGGAGCCTTGTATAGTAGCCAAAATATGCCGGGTTAGTATGAGCTTTCCAAGTTTCTCCCATTGTATCAGTGGCCCTCCACCGAGACATCCCCTTCCCTTCTCTTCGCCTCAGTGTGCTTCCATTTGGCCCCACTCAGCAACACAGGCAAAGTTGTTCGGGGTCTGGGTCTCAAGACTTATCACCAGGAAGGCTTAGTTGAAGGGAAGGTAACCCATTTGTTCTAAGGCCTGATAAGGTGTGTTACCTGACTTAGTCCTAACAAAAACCCCGAGACAGATATCTCCGTCATTCCTATTTCACACGTAAGGAACTCCAGGTTTACAGAGATTAAAGTTTCTTGTTCAAACACACATGACCAGGCAGGGGCAGGATCTGAACTCAGGCCTTTGACAAGCTAGGCCTGCCCAGGCCCAACTAGGATAGAAAAGGGAGTAGGAGTGAATGGGCTCTAAGACAGTCCTTTCACACCAGCCAGAGCCCACCCTACCTACTGAAGGCCTGGGCCCTCCAGACTCGGGTCACTGCAGCAAGTGTCACCTGCCATCTGCCTAGATGGCAGGCCTAGTCCCCTGGACAGTGCCACTAGCTGAGATTCCTTGGTCAGGGAAACTGAGGACACAATTGGCTGTGGCTGTGGAACCCCTTGAGTAATCCCTTCCTGTAGTCGCACGGGCTCGGCTGCCCCGGGATAGAAAGGCTCCCTCCCTGCCAGCTCTAGAAGCAGCCTGCTTGACCAGGCCTGAGACCCAGCCCAGGGTGGGTGGCCATGCCGTTTCTTTCAGCTGCCATTTATGAGGTGTTCACAGATGGGCCAGGACCAGTGCCGCTCGGTCTGCCCAGCCCTGACCCCCTCACCGCTTCTCTCCGGTCAGAACCACTGAACTGCAGGCAGCTTAGTCAGGAGCACAGAAATGTCCTGCCTCACTTCCTCTATCACTTTCTCCTTTAGTTCAGTTTGTCCTTGCCAGGCTGTATTTCACATGACACACTCCGAATCCTGGGGCGATAAGTACGCTGAGCTCCTTACTCCCAGACACTGTCCGCGGAGGTTAGAAATAACCAGTCCGGCTGGGAAACAGGACTTGCACCGGACGGCTGCCTCGGCCTCCACACGGGTGGTGAGTGCGGGACATGCATCAGGAACCCGAGTCGCTTGTTTCCTGGAGCACCAACTCTTCCAAAGCCCTCGTGACCTTTCCTTCCCATTAGCTGAGGACAGAATCTCTGCCACAGACTGTCAGGAAGATGGGGTGGTGGGAGAGTCCCCGGGGCCGGGCAGGTGTGGAGGTAAAGGGACTTGCTCTGAGGAAGACCTCACAGTTCCTCACAGCGTACCCACTGTGGGCCCAGAAGGGCGTGTTTTACCCCTGTACCTCCCTAGATGCCTCACCTCCCTGGAGGGTCTGCTGCCGGCCTAGTCTGCTCGGGACACCACTGCTCCTCACCTTCCGCTCGCCCCCATCCCTGCCACCCAGTGGCTCTGCCTGAGCGCGCCGCCTCCACCTGGCTGGCCTGCCAGAACGCAGCCCCTGCTGCCCGAGTCCTGGGCCATGACACCCCCCTGCGTACTCGAAGCCAGGGGGCCGCATGTGCACGGAAGTCGCCAGCAGCATTGGTTCAGCAGGGGCTGAGGCGATGATGCCAGTTACATACTCCCTACCCAGGCCACGTGGCCTTCCTGGCCATGGTCTCTTCTGGCATGCAGGACCAAAAAGGGCAGAACTATGGCTATGTAAGATGTTAAATTATGTAACTTTACAATTAAATTATTAAAGACCAAGGTTTATAAATATTCAAAACTAAATCTGCCTGTGATCTATGGCTATGTAAGAGGAAGCTGGGCAAACAATATACAGAAACTGTGCCATTTCTATAACTCTTACGTAAGCCTTCAGTTATTTGAGAATAAAAGGTTTATAAAAAAGGAGGGAGCAGGGAGGAGAATCAGAAAGCAGTGGGGGTTGGGAACAGGCAATTCAGCAGTCAATGCCCAGGTACAGGGGCTGCTCAGATTGAGCTCCTTGGAGATCAGGTGCCCCACTGTGGGCAGCTTCGGGACAAGGAAGGGTAGGGCCAATCTGTTTACATACACGTCAGCCAGAAGACTCCCCTCCCATTCGCTGTCCAGTGGTTTGGTAGCCAAGGCCACCCTGGCCAGCCAGTGCCAGAAGCCTGTGCCCTGGACCCAGGCAAGAAGGCACTAAAGGGCTCTCTTCCTAGAAAACTGCCGTTGAATTGGGATCAGGGTCAGCCTACCTGCTTGTCGCTCTTGCCCCCAAGCAGTCCTTTGGCACCAACCCTCAGTGGTTTGAGCTCCAGCCCAGGGTGGGGCCTACCAAGGGGCTTTGCCATGTCCATGCAAGTGGAACGGAGAGGGAGAGGGAGAAAGGGGAGGGGAGGAAGGGGATATGAGCATACAGTTTTGACCCAGAGGCCCACAAAGGTCAGAAAGGCCCCAGGCACGTCTTGGGTGCAAAGCACCTTCTGTCGGAGGCTCCCACTTACCCTCTTGCCTCTGTGCTAGAAGCAGAGCAAACAGAAAAGGCGCGAGGAGGCCTATCGCCCCTGTGCCCAGCTGCCTGCCCACAAGCCCTGGGGTCTTCTGCAGGCCACCAGCCCCTGCATCCTCCCAGTCACCCCCGCAGCCCCAGCTCTAGGACCACCGCAGTGGGCAGCCGCAAAGCGCCGTTCACACAGCCTGGCTCTGGGCAGGCAACAGGCAAGTGCAGCTCCGGCCGGGGGCCAGGGCAGAGATGACTCACAAGAAACTGAGCAGAGGCCTTTCCAGCTGAAGGCTCTTCAGCTCCTTCCTGGAATCTGAAACCTTTATTTGCTCAGCTCAGACATTTTAAATGATTAATCAGATGCTGTTGGTAATGGAGCCTTATAGCCCATCCCTTCGTGAATGCATCTGTAATAGTCACAACCCAGGAAGCTAATAAGGACCCAAATAAGGAGTGGGGCCTCCCACAGAGTTCTGACATCTGGCGCCCTCTTGCTCTAGAAACAAGGAAGTTGCACATTAGCATCTTGCTGCCCAGACCAGGAATGGCACCCAGGGCTGCTTCCCAGTTGCTAAGACCACCATAGCCACTGCGCTTTCCAAGAAGTGCCCCCAGCGAAATGACAGCTTTGCTAGAGGCAGGAGGCCTGGAGCCTTGCTCTCCTCAGCCCACATTGAGAACCTAAGTCAACAGAGACCCAGTCAGCCTTTCCAGGGGTATCAGAGCTGCTGGAACAAGAGGCAGGCAGGGAGGGAAAATCTTAAGGTAGCAATAGGTTGGATTCTGTCTCATGCAGGGGCAGAGGGAGAGCACGCAACTTGTCATGGATGTGCATGTATAGTGGGATCAGTTATTACTCAGCACAGGGGCTGCACTGGTGAGAAAACGTCCTAGAGGCAGTGCCACTGTGTCACCTGTGCAAGCTCGTGAGCACCAGGTTATGTGTGCGGGGAGGGGGGGGAAGGGATGTGCTGGGGAAGAGTGGCTAGGAATAGCAGAGGCAGTGAAGGTGTCATTTAACCTGGAGGTTAAGAGCAGGAGAGGTTAGGAATACTTTCCACTTTCCTCTTCCTCCACAGGGAGGTGGGGAAAGGGGCTGGCACAGCCCTGGCCCTGGTTTTGCAGCAGCAGCCTTTGCCTGCTAAGCTTGGGGCCTTCCCCAGGCATCCAGAGTATGTCCCCCAGAGAGTCAGGGCCCATTGCCTCAGAACCACCTGAGAGATGGAGTGAATTTCAGGGTCCTTCCTGGAAGCCACTCAGCCATCTCCAGCAGGCTTGGGGGGGGGGGGGGTGCTGGCCTAGAACAAGGCATTCCTGGCGGGGGGGGGAGGAGAGGTGGCTGGACTGTCCCCCTAAAGAGGTCTACTCCAGACTTTCCTTGGCCGCCCACCCCTAGGGTTGCTTCATTGTTTAAGGACAGTATCTCTGGGGCTCTGCCCAACTTCCAATCCCGATGCTGCCACTGATGGCTGTGTGACCCTGAGCACATCTTCCCTGTGCCGCCGTCTCCTCACTTGTGAAATGGGAAGAGTAGTGCCTAAGCCTATGTTTTATGACAAAAACCAGAGTGTGAAGTGCTTGGCCCAGGGCCTGGCACACAGTGAAGGAGGGAGGAT